AAGATAGTTTTAACGCCAGAATGAAAGCTGCACATGCGAAAATAAATTAGGGTTGAAGAACAATAATTAGAATAAAATAATTAAAAGAGTTTGATTAAAAAGGTTATTAGAAGATAACTCAAACAATATGGGTCTACTTTTAATTCTACTTTTAATCTACTTTTAATTAAACTAATAATTTAGATCTTACAAATATAATTTTATAATTGAAATAATTTTTCAGAATAAATTTAATAGATTTACTATAAATAATAATTTAAAATCTAACACATTATTATAAGCTCAACATTTAGAGATTGTTAGACAAAGGCAGCAACTCCATGTCATGAGTGAAATGTTTCGACATCTTCAATTTAATTCTATCGTTTTTAGTTTTAATGCCGAAATGAAAGCTGCACATGCGAAAATGAATTTGGGTTGAAGAAACATTAATTAGAATATAATAATTAAAAGATTATATATAAAGATTATTATTATATATGTATATATTCGCTTTTTCGCGTTTCGCATCTTTCGCATTTTTCACATTTTTTGGCGCGAAAAGTTTCGCATTCCGCATTTCGCTTTTTATTTTCTTAAAAAAAGTTTCGCATTCCGCATTTTATTTTTTAAAAAAAAGTTTCGCATTCCGCATTTCGCTTTTTATTTTTTTAAAAAAAGTTTCGCATTCCGCATTTCGCTTTTTATTTTTTGATTTCGCCCAGCCCTGATAAAAACTATTGTTATATTTAAAATGATAGCTAAGCCTGATAAATTTAATTTTTGTCTGGAATATAGAAAAAATTAACTAATATTAAGCAGATTAATGACTAACTTATTTTTTTTAATATTAAATATATTTTAAATGTAAAAACTTTATTAATTAGAGAATAAGAATTAATTTTTATATAAAATGTATAAAAAATTACAAAATTTAAATTGGTAGAAATTATGTGAAATAAAATAGTGATTGATATAAAACTAGAATATAATTATTAAATAAACAGTTAATAAGCTTAGATAGACTACAAAAAATACGTATGTTCAACTACTGAACAAGAATTAAATTTAAAGGTATTCTGCGGAAAAATCAAACAAAACATTGAATCATTTAAATTATAATATAATTGATAAAGTGAAAAATATAATTGATAAAGTGAATATATAATTGATAAAGTGAACAGGAGAAGAGCTTCAAATTAACTGCAGATTTAACAAATTGTAGAACGTTATTAGAATTATTTTCAAAATAAACACAAATACATATGTAATATTAATAATTTGGAAAATATTTTTAACAATTTTAAATAGCTAACTGATAAGATTGGATAATTTTTATGTCTTTCTACTCTTACAAAAAATATTTGGATTAATCATTATTTTTGAGGCTAAATATAAAAATATTCATTTTTTAACATAATACTCAATAACATAAAATAAATATTTAATTTAAACTGAATTATTTTTTTAAATCCTTAAAATATATTTGTTATTATACAAAACTACAGCACATTTAAATCATTTAAACTATCCTCCATTTTGTCTAATAATTTTGATTTAAATATTAACAATTATTAAAAAATTAATTTAATAAAAATAAAAAAAGTGTGACAGAATTTTAATAAAAATTCACTAATAAGTTAAAAATTTAATACTGTAATTTCTGAAATTTATAAATGCTTTAATTATAATACTACAAATATTATTAATAATTTAGTAAATATCTTTTCTATTTGATTACTTTGTTTGTATTCTTATAGTAAAAGAAAATATTTTTAATAAATTTTAAATAAATGCATTCGTTAAAATGCCTTTTTGTTGGTAACAGATAAGTTTGCATAATCTTTATTATCTTTCAACTTTTACAAAAAATATTTTGATTAATCATTCTTTTAGAGGCTAAAAAATATTTATTTTTTTTATCATAATACACACTAACATAAAATATGTAGGTATTTAATTTAAACTGAATTATTTTTTTAATCCTTAAAATAGTATATTTGTTCCAGGAGGTATTATCTTCCATATTAAAAAATAATAAAAATATTTTTTTAATATAAAACATACTTTCTTTATTAAACATTAAATTAGAAACGTCCTTAATACTCTTTAATTCGTTCATTCGGAATATAAATTAAATTTTATTCTTCCTGCAAAAATCTTATGAACGTCTTCTTCATGAAGACCAACGACATCTTCGCGTAAAAACAACTAATTATTTTTAATTATTTATTTAATTATTTTAATTTGATTATTATCTTTTAAGATCAATTAAAAAGTAAAATTAATTTAATAAAAATAAAATATTGGTCAAAAATAAATAAAATATGTATACACTAAGATGTATATTTATTAATTTTATAATACACATAAAATATAATAATGAATATAAGCTTGATACCTGCAAAAACAAATAACCAAACACAAAATCCTCCACTAATTTTTTATAATTTAAATAATATTAGTTTGAAAGTATTTAAATTTCTACATTGATAACACATTAAATATATTGATACATTAAATTTATAAAATAAATACATAAAAAAATAAATGCATATATGTAGTATTATAACTAAATAAAATATTTTTTAACACTTATTTTTCCGTGATGATTACGATGCACTGATGGATCTGATCAATTTGTTATTCCAAAAATTTTTGTTTTATATTCAGAAAATATTTTGAGATTTCGTTGTCAAGCTTAAATTACTGCCCAAAAATTTATTGTTAGTTTATTCTAATATACCTTTAAAATAATATGAAAATTTTCTGATCTGTCCTGATCTCTTTATTAAAAACTTTTTAACAACCATTGAAATTAGCTGCATAATAATTCTGCAAAATAAAGAATATAAAATCGCAAATTAAATAATTAAAAAAATTTTTTAGAACAATAACATTATATTTTTAAAAATTAAAAGTACATTACATCACTTATTTGCCTTTTTAAGATTTTATAAAAAAATCTTTAGTTATTTGTACAAAAAAATTTGAATTGAAAAAATATTAGAATTATCTAAATTATATTATATTTTCCTTCAAAATAAAAAATCTGATTAATATTATTAACCTGCTAAATTAATAGATTAGATACGATAATACTGGATTATACAACCATCTTTTTTAATAGGATGTAGATTCCTCCCAAATACAATTGGGGTTACTGAAAAATTCATTCGGATAGCGCGATTGAATATAGAAGAGAACATAAAAATTTTGAACTATTAATGTAATTTTTTAAATTATAGATTCTAGACTAATTAATTTAAATATAATTAAAGTTAACAACAAATTCGAAGGGCTTAATTGAAATATGTGGAAACTTTAAGTTAATGACTGAGCTTTATCAAAATATATTTAAAAAATATATTAGTAATGATAAATTTAATATTTTAATAATTTATAAATTTAAATAAATGAATAATTTAAAATTTACATTTCACGAAAGAATAGGTTTAATAATAATAATTTAATAAAAATTTTATAGAAAGAATTTGATTTAATCTTATATAAAATTATTTTTTTTTAATTTTTAGGTTCTAGATTTAGTCATCTTTATTATAGGAACTGGCAATTGCGCGAATCTTCTTTCTATTACACAATTTAAATGGTCTTGGCTTCTAAATAATATATTAAATAATTTGGAATAAATTAGCATATATTCTATAAGAATATTTTAATCAGGTGGTTTAGTAAATTAAAATTGGAAGATAATAAAAGTTAAAATTGGACATCTCCCGTTACTCAGTTATGATGTGCACAGGGGATCGTTAACTATAAATTTGGAGATGTTTGAATTTGTGAATATTCGAGAGAAAAATCAATTTTCTTCTGTCGTAAATAAGCTTTGACGGTAATATCGCGTTATCTTCCTATACGTCGAAACTGTTTGCCTGAAAATTTTATCTCACCTTCCCTTTCTTCATTCCCCTGCTTATAAATATTGAAAATATTTAAAGGATAACTAATTTGCAGGGATCAATTTAATGCAATAACTAATACTAACCTTATGGCTCAAATGGTATAAATGACATGCGTTACATTTAATTTCTTTATTCTTGTCTTGTTGAAATCTATAGCTAAAGCTTGTTCCACAATTAACACAGGGTACCTCAGAAAACTTCTGTTTTGTGAGCTATCAATTAAAATAATGTAATTAAGTTTATTTTTAAATAAAATAGATTAAATAATTCGTTTATTTAATCTATCGTTTATTTAATCACAATTATATTGACAAAGATTTCGAACAAACCCCGAATATTAATCATTTTATAAAAATTTCAAACCACTTTATTAGATGTTCGACCTAGCTTTTTGAGATACTTTCTATGGTCATAACAGCTATAGCAAATATATTTTTTAATTAGGTATTTAAGCCAGAGTTTTGATTCTGTATCATTGCAAATGAAACAACACCGCTTTTTCCCTTCTATAATTTCACCTTAATTTGTAATTTATTTTTTAAATTAAAAAGACAGCCGAATATGGTAAACTTTTCTGGGGGTTCTATATATTAGAATACGATGTTTCTCTCTTTAATCACCGAAAAGCTTATGGCGCTGGTCTAGTTTATGCGTCCAATGAACTTTTATGCGTCCAATCAAACTTTATCAGTCCAATCAAAAAACAATTGGATTTTTCTTGGTATTGCAAAGTTGGGGTATGGTTCCAAAGCATTTCTTCATCTTCATGACCTACGCCCACTGGGTCTGGGACCGTTCCTTACCCTATCCCTCGAAATTTCTGAAAGTTATAGCCAATTTTTAAAAATTTCAGAAAAACAATTGTAACTTTGAGAAATTTCGAGAAATAGGGTAGGGAATGAACCCAGACTTAGTGGGCGTAGGTCCCGAACATGAATAAATGCTTTGGAACCATCCCCACTTTGCAATACCAAGAAAAATCCAATTTTCTTTTGATTGAACTCATAAAGCGCCAAGCTTTCTAGCTCTTTTCTACTATCAATAATATTTTATTAAATGACAAAAAATGAATATTTGGGAAAATTATCTAGATAATTTCTAATTACTTATTTTATTTCCAGTGGAAATAACTTTGCTGCTAAATTCTTCTAACGATATTTGGCCATTTCGTTTATTTTTGTTTAACAATCCAACTTTATATCCAATCAAATTTATTTCATCCCAGTGATTTCTTAAAAGCTTTTCCTTAAATATTTCAATTACATCTTCTAATTTATTTTTTTCCATATTTGTTTTTAATTTATATTTATTAATTTCTATATTTTTGTCTAATATTGATGTTTCATAATAATCATACTTTTCATTTTTAATGAATTTATTATTTATAAATACCTTAAAATTTCTAATAAAATCCTTTTTAGATAACAATTAATATAATCCTTCTTAGATAACCATATCAGTGATGCCGCGAATACAAAAAATCAAAAGGTACGGGTTTCGGGTACAAAAAATACCGGGTTTCGGGCGGCAACCCTGATCCATATTTAGATTTATCAGAACAAGACTGAATCTCGAACAATAATCACAGTTATCGAGATTTTTGTTCTCAGTTATCGAGTTGAAACTTTTTCCAGTCTTAATAAGATTAAACACCTGCTTATCTAGTTTAGGCATCATTTTTTGAATAAATAAATGATTGGCAACTTGAATGACAATTTTCTTTGTTAATTGAATATTTGGACTTAAATGTGAACCTTTACTTATTTCAACATTAAAATAATTTGTTTTGGTATTTAATTCGAGAATTTGCAAAGATTCTATTTTATTAAACAACATGTCATGAGGAAAGAATTGTAACGAATTTGTTCTTTTCGATCTCAATACAAACCGTTCTTCTTGATCAATATTTTTTAAATAAATGAATTGACGTTTATATTTCCAATCATTTTTTATTTTCACTTCAATTTCTTTAGGATTTTTATATTCTTTTGCCCATTGAAAATTTAATAGAATAATTAAATAAAAAAGAAAATGAAATAATTTAATCATCTAAATAATAAAAATATAATTATTGTTTTGAGTTTAAATTGTTTTGAAAGTTTGAGAGTCCATGGAGATATAAATATACTAAAGTTTTTCTCTTGAAATTTGGTGTTTTGCTTTATGGTTCAAGACCACTTTCTTAAAATATTGAAAAGTATCATTTATAAAATTATTTTAATTTCATAAATTGACTCTTTTAAATAAACTTGATAAGAAATTTAGAAAAAATTCTAGAGCATTCTCCATTATGACCCTACGTCAGAGGCATCTCTTCAACTTTATTGTTTTATTTTGTGATAAAACAATTGTATTTTATTATGTTATTGCATTATGTATACTAGAGGTCGGCAAAATCGCACTTCCGGGATCCCGAGTCTGGATTTCTTTTCTTAACCGAGGCCGGGACGGGATCCCGAGGGATAAATCCCGAAAAAATCCCGAATTTCAAAAATCCCGAAAATAATTATCCGGGATCCCGCCCGGGATTCGGGATTTTTAAAAAAATAAAAAATTTCAAATTTTTATAAATAAAGTGCATCAAAATACTGCAATTTAAATGTAGATAATATTAAATTTGTTAAAATCTAATAGATTTCGGTGGATTAATCACTAGGTTCCTTGATAAAATCCCACTATATACTAAACCATTGTTGTGTATCGACTTACGGTGTGTCCGAGATACTAACAGAAAGACTATCTAACTAACAACGTTTATCTACAATACTATACAATAAAGGTGAATAATAGGAATACGACTAACTGCTGGAGTACAAGACTAAGACTGACTGACACTCGGAATAGACTAACGACTAACTAAAAGACTAACTGTAGACTAAACTCGGTAACTCCCAGACTGGCTAAAGCCTCAGCCTTTTATACTAAGCACATACCCAACACCCATCCACTTTACCGCCGATAATACTTCCAAATTTCTCAATTTGCAGCGCCGCAGGCGAACATTTTGAGAATTTTGGAGCACATGAAGCCAGATTTCTTCCATTTTCAGCGCCGCAGGCAAAAATTTTGAGAATTTCGAAGTTCTTTAAGCCAGATTTCTTCATTTTTTGCGCCGCAGGGAAAAATTTTGAGAATCACTAGAGTAAGACATGCTTGGGATATGCTAATTTAAAAATCCCGAAAATTATAAAATAATGTCCGGGATCCCGAGTCGGAATTTTATTTTTTAACCGATGCCGGGACGGGATCCCGAGGGATAAATCCCGAAAAAATCCCGGATCCCGAATGATCCCGAAAATCAAAAAATCCGGGATTTCGGGATCGGGATCCCGGAAAATCCCGTCGGGATCACGTCCCGCGCCGACCTCTAATGTATACTAAATATTAAGAGGAGCATAATTAGAATATCATTATTTAGATATTTTATATTATTTGAAAGGAATCATTTAATTATCTCAAAAATTTACTTGAGAAAATTTCAAGTACTCTGCGAGATAATAGTCCGAATTCCGCCTCTGATTATAAAAAATTCACTTTAAGATTTTTAAACTTCTAAAATTAAAAAATAAATCTCTAAATGTCTGTGTATAATTAAATTTAATGTGTATATGTATAAATTATTTTGGCCGGCTATTACCAAAGAATCTTTCCTTTATTATTGAGTTTTTGACTTGTCTTTAAATTTATTTTGCTTTGACATTTTTTTAAAAATTTAGAAAAATTTTTATTTTATGTTAGAAAGTGCATTATTTCGGCAAATATTTTTGATTTTTAAGGTGATCATTAGTGCAAGATATAAATGCGAACGAAAAATAAATAAAAATCATATAATTAATTAAGCGATCTTTCTTTTTAACGGCATTACGTCCAGTGATGGAAAGGTTTAAGCTCAAGTTCCGGAACTGGAACCGTGGAACCGGCTCTGAACAGACGATTACGAAAATATAGGAAAGAATTACGAAAATAATGAATAGAAATTATCAAGCAATATTATTGCAAAAAAACCTCTCGTACTTAGTCATTAAATTTTCGGAGGAAGAGGGAAAGAAATATATTTCTCTCAGTTTTACTTTTGTTGATATGTGGTTTACAAGTCAGGATTTACTCCTTTTGATATTCTGTGGGTCTAGATTCGAATCCATTATTGGGAAATAAGATTTCTGCACTTTTTTCCAAAATTAAAAATTTTTAAACTTTTATTTTTATTTTAAACGTGTAAATTTATTTTTTAATATTTTAAAAGCCGTGTTTATATTTAAGCATTTAGAGTATATGTTTCTTCGATAACAGAGTGCGCAATAAAGTGATAGAAGGATATATAGGGAGATGACAACTAGAATTAATTAACAAAATCTTTTTGAATCAAGATATAACTGAGAAATTATAACACTTAATTTCCTTCACCCAATCATTTAATCGCTAAAGACATCCAAATACAAATATTTGTGCAAAAAACACTTCAATATCATCTGACAAATGGAAATAGAGGAAGGAAATTTAAAATTTGATTTCAAACTAAATATCTACGTGTAAATTGATGAAAAATTAATTTTTACTTTCTTACGTGTATTAAATGGTTAAAGAAAACGTCAATTATTGCAGGATAGATGGTTGTTTGTAAATAAAATTTATCAAAGTTTTTATAATTTTCCAACTGAAAATTTATCATAGTTTTGTGTTAAATAAAAAATGTATTAAAATTAAAGGAAGTAATTTCATAGGAAATTCATCTATCGAGAATTTTTTGTAAAAATAAATATTAGAAATATTTTTCGGAAAATAATTTTGATTAATATTCCACGTCTAAGCTTTGTTTACTTCCTTATAAATATTACAAGGAAGTTTGTCTACAATATTTTTTTAATTATTCATGTATCTTCGCTTCAAACATATTTTTTCATAAACAAATTCTTTACCATACGTTTTGTCTCAATGAGATTTTTGGATATAAAATAAAGCAGATTTCTATAGAGAAAGCATCACTTAATCAAATATATTTTTAATTTATTCAAATTTATTGAAAACTTTTCATTATCATTTACTTAAGAAATCTTTAAATGTAAAATTTAAAATCATAGTTTAAATTGAGCATTTAAATATTAATTAAAATTTACTATTTAAATCTAATTTTAAAATTTAAAGGAAAAATTCAAATATAGAAATGAAAGCTGTATTCCTCGTAGCTCTATTAATTCTAAGTATGGGAATGCTAATAAACTGTCAATTAATTCCTATACCTTTTCCTTTTTCGTTTTGTTCTCTTGTTCAACCACTTAAATCATTTTGTACTGAAGCATGTAGACAATGCAAGAATCAAGAAAACTGTTTTGGAATAAACAATGTGTGTGATCTAACAAGTGGTCTTTGTGGTACACTTGGTTGTCCTTGCACATAGTGAGTATCTTTAAAGTAATTTTAAAATATATTCTCTTCTTTTTAAAATTTATTTTTTTTGAAAATTTTTTAACTAGATAATTTTTAAATTATATTTAGATGAAGATTGTAATGAAGAATATACATGGGATATTATAAATTAAGATGACTACTACATAATTATGAATATACAGACATGTACATTGTCATCAAAGATGACGAGAATTTAAAAATAAAGAATATATAAAATATAAATTTAAAAATGATGAATCATTTAGCCAAATAAAAGAAAAGAATTTTAAAGAAAATGTTCAGTCTTTTCACTTTTTTCACTCTCTTTTTTTAAGTTTCTTGCTTTTCTAAAAATTAATAAAATTTTCTCTTTCTTTGAAAATAAATAAAATAAATTTGGAAATTTGAAGTTTAAAAGATCTACGTGAAGAAGAAGCTAAAGAATGGAGAAATATAACCAAAGCTTGGGAAACCCCTGACATTGAATTGGACAGAATAATAATTCAAAATGAGTATAGATGCCAACTTCATGTATTTTCTGATGCATCTAAGAATGCTTACGCTGCTTGTGTTTATGTACTAACGAGAAATAATGACACCACAATGATCCATTTAGTTTATGCTCGAAATAGGCTAAGGCCAAAGAAAATGCCTATAAGTATACCAAGAATGGAACTATTAGGAGTAGTAATCGCGACACGAATAATTAAATTTGTAGAAAGACAAATAGGAATTAAAGTAAATGAAAAATACCTTTGGTGTGACTCAAGGTCAGTTCTTTATTGGATAAAAAACAATCAAGAAAAAGAAAAATTTGTACAAAATCGAATAAAAGAAATAAGAACTAATATTGATTTAAAATTTGGTTACGTTCCTACTGAAGGTAATCCGGCAGACATAGGAACCAGAGGCTGTACGCCATTAGAGTTACGAGCAAATAAACAG